TCAAATAATAATGGGACCACATTAGGCATCTTCCATATTTCTGGTAGGTCTCCCATCTCCAGTGACCTACTATACACTATGGAGAGTGGCAAACAAAGTTCCTCTGCACACTGTTTCAATGCCCATTGTGAGATCCCGTCTGGACAAACAGCTTTTCTTACATCCAGATCCAACATGTACCTTGTTCTGTGGGGAAGACCTCCTGTATACCTGTCCACGTCTGTTCTAAGTTTTTTACATGTTCTTTCTCTGTTGTTTTCCTCTTGATGTGACTGTGGAGTAGCTTCAGTTCGGGCTTGGCTTTGTTTGCTATATCATTTTCATAATTTTTCTCTGCTTCTCTTCTCACACTAACATACTCATATTTGGTTCTCTGGTATCTCTCTCTGCTGTCTGGTGTTCTGTTATATCGGAAGTTCCTCCACACCCTTTTGTTCAGTTCCTTTGTTACCATACATGTCCTATTAAACATTGGGTTCTTCTTTTGCTTCTCGGATTTTTCCTTTTGGGCCGTGATAAACCTGTTTACTGCCTCCTGACACTTTTGGGTGACATAGTTCATCATGTCTTGTACAGACTTAGCTCTGAGGTCTGTGTCCTAATGGTACATCCCTTAGGAAACTTCTCATCTACTCCAAATTTCCCTTTCGGTATGCCAGCCTTTTGTTTCCTAGTTCTTATTTTGGGGATCCTAAATAAATCCTAGCTCTACCAAGTACTCAAAGATCAATACACTGTGACCACTCATTCCCAAGGGTGCTTCCAGCTTAACTCCCCTTATATCCCACTCATTTAGGGTAGATATCAGATCCAGCATGGCTGGTTCATCGTCCCATCTCATTCTTGTTGGTTCCTTGATGAGCTGGCTTAGCAAGTTTCTTGTTGCCACGTCCAGCAACTTAGCTCTCCATATATCTGGTACTCCACGTGGGTCTCTGTACTACCAATCTATCTTCCCATGGTTGAAGTCTCTTATGATTAGTAGTCCAGATCCATTCCTGCTAGTGACAGAAGTTACTTTCTCTATTATGTTAATGGTGGCCATGTTGTTTCTATCATATTCCTGTCTGGGTCTTATATCGCTAAGGGGGGGGGCTTATATATGACTAATACTATAATTCTTTGTCGTCCAATTGCAATGGTACCTGTTATGTAGTCACTGAAATCTTTACAGTCCAGAACAATCATCTCTTCAAAAACTCCAGCCTTTTCTTATCAGCAATGCTACACCACCTTCTCCTCTTCCTTCTCTCTCATTCCTTACTATATAGTAGTCCTGTGGAAACACTGCATTTGCTATAGTTTTCGTTAGCTTTGTTTCTGTGAATGCTATTATGTCTGGGTTTTCTTCTAATGCCCATTCTCCAAGTTCACTTGTTTTATTAGTAATCCCATCTATGTTAGTGTACATTGCCTTGAAGCTCACTTTCTTCAGTTTATTCTCTTGTCCCCTTCTTGCCGAGCGTTCTGCTGATGGAGGAAGCTTTTCAATAGGTGTGAAGATCTGTGAGGTGGTTAACAGGGTCACAGTGGATTCTGGAGTGGGGGGTAGGGTTTCAAGGGAAGGGTGGACAGGTATGATTGGGGGTAAGGAGGTAGGGGGGGACATGAAGGATATGGGGTGCGGGGGAGGAGGGATAGGGAGGGTATGGAATGAAGGGGGAGGGGGGACAGGGGGGTAAAGGGTGGAGGTGGGACATGGTGAGAATGGGGGAGGGGTGACAGGTTCCGAATGGGGTGGGTTATGAGTGAGCATTTGAGTGGGGGCAGGTAAGCAATGGGGAGGGTTTCTATGCAGAGAAAGTTGGCAGTTTTGTCCTCCCCTCTGGTGTTGCTGGGATGCTGGTTGTGAGGTCCCCCTCTTGTCTCTGGGACTGTTGTGTTGGAGGCCGTGATTTCCTGGTTTGCTCCTCTCTCCCTGCGCTTCCTCCTTGCCTCTGCCGCCCTGGCTCTCTCCTCCTTCATCCTGTCCCTCTGGAGGAATACTTTTTTTGTATTCCTCCACATACTGCAGATGAATCTTCCTTTCTATAATAACCTCCTTCGTGGTCTCGTTTGCAAACACTATCTTCACTAGGCGGTCTCTTTCCTAGTTGTACTTACCCAACCTGAAAACCATTTCATTGTTTTGTTAAGCTCCTTCCATGTTGAACCACTTCAGAATCCTATTTACTGCCTCTCTGTTCTTGTTATTCCATTCTTGCCTATTGGATCCTTCTTGTTCCTTGAAGCTTACAGCTATCACAGATCTTTTTCTTTCCAGCAGCTGACTGGTGTACCTTGCTGCTTCCTGTGAGGTAGCAGCTTGCATGGCTACCCCCCTCACTGTGGTTATTGCTTCTGTGCTCTTTCTCAGTATGTCCGCAAATGTTTCAGGTACAGAGGCATTTCCTTCCAGTGCGACAATTCCATCTTCCCCTTGGATGATTATCTGATGCTTAATCTCATCATTTTTCTCTGAGAGTGATTTGATCTCCTCCTTTGCTGCTGTCAGCTCACTTTGCAGGTTGCTGCTTGTGTTCTTCATTTCATGCAACTCCTTCCTGAATTCCTCTCAAACTTGGGCTAACATTTCCTTTATTTGGTCACTTTGACTACTCCCTGTGTCCCTGGTGCGTCCTCTAGCCATCTTATAGTCCCTTTTCCTGATATGTTTTAATAGAGTTAGCCAGGGGAGATGCACAGAGGAAGGGAGAGAGAGAGAGAGAGAGAGAGAGAGAGAGAGAGAGAGAGAGAGAGAGAGAGAGAGAGAGAGAGAGAGAGAGAGAGAGAGAGAGAGAGAGAGAGAGAGAGAGAGGGCAAAAGAGAGAGGGTAAGAGAGAGAGAAAGAGAGCAATAGAAAGAGAGGGAGCAAGAGAGAGAGAGGGCAAGATAGAGAACAAGAGAGAGTTGCCAGTTGACATGTAGGGGGGGAAAGGGGGGCGGTGTTTCTCTGACTTGTGTGTGTAGGGATTACCAACACAATAATTTAGGTCCCAACTGAGCTCACACTGAGGTTACTGCCTCATTTGCTATCAATCTATCAAGATTACTACTCTATTATCGAATGAAATGCATTATATGTGACTACTATATGATATTATATAAACCGTGAACACTGTTGAAGACTTCAGAGAGAGAGGCACTTACCAGTCACCACCCAACAAGCACAACCAGGCAAGTTCCACAGTGGGTCGTCCCACGCAGAGGGCAGCAGGTCAGATCACTCCACGCAGTCCTCCACACTATTTGTACCGGTGAAGTCACTAGCTCCCATTTGATTTCTTCGCTCTATCACTTGCGATTTGCACCTGATACTTTGCATCCTGCTTGCTACTCACTGTGAGAGGCCAAATACTATGATCTAGCCTCTATACTCCTTCAATGTCCCTAATATTTGATGATTCTACGCAGACCTCACTAACACGTGTGTCTCTCACTGGTGGCGGCCTACTACTCCTTCTGTATTCACCTAGTTGTGTTTAGCGGGGGTTGAGGTTTGCTCTTTCGGCCTGCCTCTCAACTGTCAATCAACCGTTCACTAACTACTTTTTTTTTCCCCACACCACACACCAACCCGTTCTCGCACTTGCTTATAGTCAATATTTGGCATATGAATAAGAGCATATGTGACATACTAATTTATAGTGAATATTTGAGCTTACCTTGAAATGTTGAATAGAAAACACCGACCTAACCCTAACCTTCTTAGTATGTTAAGATATTACAATTAGTACTGAACCTATACCTATATTGATATTACAGTTTTATAAAAATAATAAAACAAAACTATAAAATATTTAAATAAATTGTAAAGTAACTCAGGATATTGTCAAATTTTGTATAAAATCTCTATTGTTTAATAAAACTGAGAGGAAGAGTTAGTGCCTTGGAAAAAAATTGGGCTTGGCATATGTCACAAATTCTTATTTTTAAGTGAAATAGTGGCTATAAGTAATAAGTCCTATATGTGCTGTCTTGTGCGGAAGAGGGTTGCACACACCCCTCAAAAAGCAGCCCGTGACAGCTGACTAACTCCCTGGTACCTATTTACTGTTAGGTAACAGGGGCATCAGGGTGAAAGAAACTGTGCCCATTATTTCTCGCCGACGCCGGAAATCGAACCCGGGACCATATGATCACGCGTCCAGCGTGCTGTCCAGTCAGCCACCGGTCCCTTGTGTGTGTACTCACCAAATTGTGCTTGCGGGGGTTGAGCTCTGGGTCTTTGGTCCCGCCTCTCAACCGTCAATCAACAGATGTACAGGTTGCTGAGCCTATTGGGCTCTATCATATCTACACTTGAAACTGTGTATGGAGGCAGCCTCCACCACATCAGTGCCTAATGCATTCCATTTGCCAACCACTCTGACACCAAAAAATTTTCTTTCTAATATCTGTGTGTGTGTGTGTTTGTATTCACCTAGTTGTGCTTGCGCGGGTTGAGTTTTGCTCTTCCGGCCCGCCTCTCAACTGTCAATCAATCAGCTGTTACTAATCCATGGAGGATATGGGCATCATTAGAGATAAAAGGATGATGCCCTTTTATGATCCAGCGATCGTAAAAGACGTTCATGAATAAGGGTTAAATATTTTATGAAGATAGTGAACAGATATAAGGAATTAGAGATGATGGGACAATTTGGAGGACAGAGCGACACATGCTTGCTTGCCTGAGGTCAGTGAGTGATTGAGGTGGGAGGAGCCCTGACAACCCATCCGAGGTTGATTTCGGTGTGGACTCGTGCAAAAATGGCAGCCCATCCTCCGAATATGGGGAAGTAAATGATAGAGCACAAGTAAGTGTAATTATGTACTATTCCTAACAGTCAGGAATTATACTTATTTGCACTTAGTATTAAACCCTACTCTCAATTCGGAGGATGGGTTGAAAAATGGGCTAGTACCGACGCGCGGAAGGGGATTTGTAAATATATGTAATTTATATTTTATTAGGAAAACATATTATTATGGTTCGGTAATTGAACTACAGGTTTGTGTGGGAGAAGTTTGTGGAAGAGTTTCGTGTCTGAGGAAAATTATACGGTGAATCTGAGGAAGATTATATGGTGAAAGTAGAGTCGAAGCCTCAAGTGGGGAGCTAAAATTCAAGTGTGGAGCTGAACTTCAAGTGTGGAGTCGAACTTCAGTGGTAGTATGGAACTTCGAATGTAGTTGCGCTACAGGTTTTATTTTTGTGAAGCTGCATAGAAGAACTTCACAGGCATTTGAGTAGGACTTCAGGTAGCAGCAAATGTTGGAGAGACTGCAGAAGTATGTACCTGATTTTGAGGACCCGTAGACAGATGTTCTTAGTGGTGAGCCTCAGGACGTAGAACAGAGAAGTGTACAGACACCTTGATATGTATGAGGAAGTGCTTGATTGCATAGAGTGTGAGTGATGCAATGTAAGGTGAGAAAGTTACGTATTTCTTGCAGGAGATATTTTGATATGCTTGTTAGTTAACTCCATGCAGTGAGGAGGCAGTAGGCTGTGGGCCTAAAATTGAGCAGCAGCCTAGTACAGTTTATTTGATGAAAACTTGATATGATATTAGAGTGTTGCCGGTTTATAGCAGCCTAGGGTACAGTACAGTAACATTATCTATATATTTTTTCTTATTCTATTCTAAGTATTGTCGTGTAATGTTTGTCTATTGACAACGGATTTTGTTCTTGTCCTCGTGAGGATTCCTAGATAGAGAGAGAGAGAGAGAGAGAAGCGTGTGCAAATCGGCTCGCAGCAGAAAATAGTATAGTGAAGGTGAAATAAGAGATCAGCCAAGAACAAGGAGAGTGTGAGAGAGTCACGGCAGCTCATGTGTATACATGACCAATAGGCCAGATTGGAGCTGTTCCCCAAATGAAGGTGATGTTGAACCCCTCTCCGAGTATACAGTGATTACAGGGTGATCTCCCAACTTATTATGTGCACTCCAGTGTCTATTGTTCGTTGAATGACAATAGCAGTGGTGTGATTGCCGTGGTCGATCTTATTTTATCAGGGAGTGGTTGGGGTCTCTGTTCGGCAGAGGTCAATTAAATAAAGTAAAGTGCAGTATCAAGTTTATAAAATCCCTGACCCCTAATAGCATATACACATGTTTATTAAATACAATTACTAATTTGGGGATAAATTAATTTGGGGTTTGCAAATCCTTCTTTCCTATTTTATTTAAAAAACAGATTGGTGGAAAAGTCTGGACTGTGGCGGCTGCCGGAGACGGTGGTGATAGCCATAGGTGGGAGGGCGGGAGTGAGGGCCGTGCTGCTCCACCACAGTCTCCGCAACACTGTCCACGCCCTCTACCTCGCCCTCAACCACGATGCCTCAATCCACGCCCTCACCCATGCCTTCTTCCACGCAGTGCACGACTCTCCACTCCAAACTTATTTATGCCTCAGGTGGCTCCTGGTCGAGGAAGGTGAGTACCAATCTGTGTTCTGTGACTCTCTTAGCTCTCATGTGCTTATTCATTTGTTGAAGTTAAATAGTTTACCTGCTCTTCTCTGTCATGCTCATTACTAAATCCATCAGCGGATACTACTTTCATTATTAGATTGATTCATTGATTTACTGAATTGAAATTGAATCTATAGAATGATTTTTTCAATGATATATCATATTATGCTGTTTTTCTTAAATATTTGAAGAGGGCGTTCGCTGGAGACCTCCATTACCTACACCAGAAAATATGCATGTAATGAGTAGAAACTTAGATTGACTGCCAGCTATGTGCTTCCAGACTCGTAGTGGATTCGAGTGGATCCCAGGATATATAATCTATAGTGAAAGAGAGACAGAGAGAATTGTAATATTACACAGAGAAATTACACTAATGTCATTTTCAATGAGAAATTGAACTGGAGCTATTTGGTGACTGGAATCCATGATCGATTAAAATCCCAACCGCTGGCACTTGGGTGTAAAATGACCTGCCTTAGCCAGTCTCCTCGCTTTCCTTGTGTTAAGTCATCGCCTTGCTTCACGCTGATTAGTTCCCACAGGAAGTACGGTTTCACCTACAACTGGAGCCTCTAGCACCTAGATTCTTTTGGTTTCCCTTGTCTTGGCTGGCCGTTGCCCCCCCCCCCCCCTCCTGAGGTCTCCTCACTGCATAATGATTACTGTAATGTGGCAAAACACATTCACATTTAAGTCACCTGATTTCGTCTGACTAAATCACACAGGCACGAATCAATAAACACGAAAATGACGGCTGCCGGACGGGGAAAACTCTCATACAGGATGTAGCGTAGCCTAGGCTATCTAGAATCATGACACATACTACCTATGAGGGGGAGTCACTGTACACATCTGACTTGTCTAACAACGTGCAATCATGAGGAATCAATCCATTAACATAATGTCTGCTGACATCAGTTGCATCATTATTAATAGTGGCGCTCATATACAATGTTTTGTGAACATTCATCGTACTGACGTAGATGTTGTGATGGAAACATTTGTAGATGACAGGACCTAGATTTACGAAGCTCCATGTATTTCTTCGTAAGAAGGTGTGCTACGAAGGTTCCTAAGTACGCCGTAAGAAGATGCTTACATGCAATTCAGGTAGATATTCCTACGAAGATATTTGGGTTTTGGGTCTGGTTTTCCTGCATGCCGAAAGAGGTCACTACTGTGTTTCGTTTGGCCAATCAGAGAGAAGGCAACATTCTTCATCATGAAGATTTAGCCAATCATGACACTGGCTTATCGGAGCTCACCTGCCTCCCATTTACGTCGAATTATCTTATAAAATTAGTATATTTCGAAGTAAAACTATTTTTTTTTCAACTTCTACAGCCAGCACCGACATTGTAGTAAACAAATATGTTACTTTTTTGTTTACCTACGTAATTCTAAGAGATACTGCGTGTAGCTTTCCTTTTCCCTCGGAGATGTGCTGACAATTATTTATATATATTAATCTGAATTTACCCAAGAGCCTTTAACTATCTAGTGGCCTCGACGAAGACAGAATGCCGGCGGCTTGTTAAATGGCCCGCCAATTGTCTTAATGATATTTTTTAGCTGGATTTTGGCATTTAAGCCTTCAGCAGGTAGGCGGTTCCATGGGTTTATAACCCTCTTGATGGAAAAAACATCTGTTTTCAGTCCAACTTGAGAGGACATACTCTCCAGCACTATCTGTGATTGCCCTGTTAACAGTGACTTTGTACCAAATGGTATGAGGTACTTTGAGTTCTTTAATTACTTCATACACTCAGGAATATTGGAAGATATTCTTGTGCTGCACCCAGATTTTACCAGCGGGGGCTAATATTTTTTTTTTTTTTTTTTTTTTTTGCAGGGATAATCCTGCGCGGGCCCTAAGCCTCTGGCTGGCCCACTAAGTGTTGCTTGTTTCTGTTTTACTTGGGCGGAGTATGAGTATTTATGACTCGTATGGTCGCTTCAGTAAGATTTTGCCATATGTGTTTAACAACTTCCTCTGCTCTGTTGAATCTAAGTTGAAATCTTAACGGGTTTGTAACTGTGCACTGTGTTAGATAATGTTCCAGTGGTCTGTCAGGCATTTCTCCACAGTTTTGACATTTCCTCTCATCTTCCGGAACCTGTAAGCCTATTTCCCATGCACATGGGTATCCAAGCCTGATGCGATGTAAGTGCACTTCTGTTGTTCTACTGCCCCCTATCATCAAACTAAGTGGTTCGTAGTTGGTTGAATTCTTGTACCAACCCGCAGATCCTGATGTTGCAACTGCTGTGTTGTGGTCACTGTACATCTTTTGCATTGCTCTGTTTCGAATTACTTTCTTCATCTGGGATAGACTCTGTGGTATGTAAATGTCTACATTTCTCCTTTTAGTAGCAAGTTTTGCAGCTTCGTCTGCAATGTCATTTCCTATTAGTCCCACATGACTTGGCACCCAGTTGATAAGTACCCGTCGGCCTTGTCGTTTGAGTGTGTGCATGAATGATAAGACATTTGTGATCAGATGGATGTTATCACATATGTGTTCTTGTTGCAAGGTTTCAATGGCGGTTCTCGAATCTGTATGTATGATAACATGTTGTCGGTGTTCAGCATGAGCATGTTCCAAAGCCTTTTGAATGGCTAGCATATCTGTTTGTAAAATCGAACACCCATTTGAGAGCCTCCAACTATTCACAGAGTTTCCTGCTTTAACCGCAGCTCTGGCTTCTTGTCCCTGCTGGTCTACTGATCCATCTGTGAAGTAAGTGAAGCTGTCGGATGCCATGTTTGCTTCTATATGCATCTGTGCAATGTTACGTAGCAGATGAGGATTTGTCCGGTTCTTCTTTCCTTCAAGAGCCATAATCTTAAAGTCTGCTGGCAGAGATTCCCAAGGGGCTTGTATAACAAAATCTGCATGTATTTCGTCGACACCCCTCTCAGTGACTGTGTTTGCCATATCGAATGTATCGATGGTGTTTATCGCACAATGGGTCCACCTGTTGCCATTGGAGGCTCTTCTGTCCAGAGTTAGCACTCCAGTGATTATATCTTTAAGTGAACTGATTCTAGGTCTAGTCAATATCTTGGTCAGCATGCACGCAGCAATCCCTTTTTCCCTTATTTCAATCGACGTTAGCTTTGTTTCTAGTCTTAGGTTCAGTATTTTAGTCCATCTGGGAGCTCCTGTTATGATTCGCAATGCATCATTTTGAAGAACCTCAACGTTTGCCCACTGACCAGGAGAAAGAGTGAGTAAGGCAGGCGCTGCATAATCAACTAGGGAACGAACGGCGTGTATGTAAAACATTCTCAACACTCTGTGTCCCGCTCCTAGACGGGGCCCTGTGATTGCTCTCATTATATTTATTCGTGATTTTGCTTTCTCCTTTAGATATTGAATTTGCTTATTGAATGTCATTTTAAAATCAATCCACACTCCGAGATATCGATAATGTGTAACCCACTGAAGGTTAATGCCTTGAATGCGTAGGTGCCTGTCTGGAGTGTTGCCACCTAGTCTCATCGCCTTAGACTTCTGTGCAGATATTTTTAGCCCTAAAACACTGCATTCAGATGTTACTTTATCTAAAGCACCTTGAGCGTTATTTAGAAGTGAAGGACCTGTAATGACTAATGCTATATCATCAGCATAGCTTAGCAAATCAACCCCTTCTGTAAATGTCATGGTAACAAGGTTTTCCACAACGATGTTAAAAAGACTAGGACTGAGGACTCCTCCTTGTGGAGTCCCATTCTCGTGCAAGTGGTAGTCCGACACTTGTCCTTGCAACTTTACTCTGGCATACCTGTGACTTAGGTAATCTTGAATCCATGCTAGCATTTTTCCCTTTACACCTTTTTTAACTAAGGTGTGTAATATTGCTTGCGGGCTTGCAAGTTCAAATGCTTTTTCTAGATCAAGGAAGATCACTATAGCTGGACCCGAGTTAACTGTTCCTAGTAATGTTGCTATGCAGTTTGCAGTACCTACTCCTCTAGTGAAGCCAAATATGTGTTTATGAAGGTCTCCAGTCTTCCACAGTAGCCTATTTAAGACCATCCGTTCTGCAGTTTTACTAATGCATAATGTTAATGAAATGGGTCTGTAATTGCCAGGTTCGTTCGGCTTAGGAATCGGTATGATGTCTGCTTTCTTCCAAGAGGTTGGTAGTTTGCCTTGCTGCCAAGATGCATTGATGACGTCCAATATTCTAATAGATCAGCCTCACATACACTATTTTGTTTTCTCCTGATTCCATGTATGACTGGCCGTCCTGTGATATGGGGAAGTTGGATGAGCTGGTAGGTGGTTTTTGATCTACACTGTGTGGTCCTTCATACAGAATAGGGAAGCAGCAAATTGCTGTGTATACCTTAGCATGTTAAAAAAAAATACATTGTTTGAGAGGAGTCTTGTAGAAAATGGTAAGAGTAATTATAATTTAATGTTTCCATGATTCAGTGCTTAATTCTTGTGAAAATCGTGAAGTTGTTGTTTAGTCAGAGTGGATTTGTTTTTTTGTATTGAGGCTGGTATTTTCTCTCTTGATTCCATGTGAGCCTAACCATCCTGTGAGATGGCAGTATTAGATGAACTTATAACTAGTTTTTTATCTACACTGAGCAATCTTCCATATAGAATAGGCTAGCAGCACATTGCAATGTATACCTAAGCTTCTTAATAAAAAAAATCAGTAATAAAGATTTTAAATTATAGTTTGTATTATTACAAGTAATATCCTTATTAAATCATGTTAACCATGGATCATTAAAATTAAGATCTCATGTTGATGTGTAATAGTCATATTTGTTTTCAATCATTCATTAAATTGTGCATTATGTCTCAATTTTTTCACTTCTCTGGATACACTGTACAGTACAAAAAGATAGAATAAAAATAAACCAGTAATATTTCTTGCATTATATTTTTTATCTAAATAACTGCATCAATATTTTTACAGCTTTGATGTTCCTAG